CTGAGACTGGAGCCGTGGGGGTTCGCCCCACCTCGCCGCGGCCCAGGCGCGGGGATGTGTGATTTTTCGCACCCCCATACCTAGGGGCGGAGGAGTCACCGTGGCCTGAGGGCCGGCGCGCTGCGCACGCCAGCCACCTGCCTGGCTCCTCTCGGCATGGCACCGAGATGAGCTGCGTGGGGGCACCTGCACCTTTCCTTAGAAGAGCGGCCGTGTTTCTGTGTTACGGGCCTGTGCTCAGGTAAAGGTGTGATGTGGCACTGCAGCCGCTCACAACACCTCTCTGTCCATTTCCCCCCTTTCTGGGCCCTCACATCTGTGTGTGCATTTTATCCATCTGTTAAACCGACGGCAGATGGTTTCAGCCTTCCCCTTATTGAAGAACTCCAGCCTAAAGGTTTGCCAGAAAATAAACACGATCTAAGAGTAATACAAGGCATTGTTTGTTGGTTAGCTTTTTCAGGTAGGTATCAGGTTCTGTTTTCAATAAACAGAGGAGCTAATCCATAAAGATACATTTGGAACTCGTGGGAAATAACTGTTTTAAAAGTACTCCTACTTTCATTGTTGGTTGGTTTTTGGTTGGGTTTTTTTTTGCCAATGGTGTATGAGAATAACAGCTAAATGTCTTTGAGAATTCTGTTAAAAATTAGTGATGTCTTCCAGTTGTTGAACTTCAGAGTCTTGAATTTCTATCTGAAAAGTATGGAAAACCCACAAGGTGAGCAAGCAATAAGCAGGTTTGCTAGTTTCTCAGGTTAGCTCTTTCAGAAAGAATGTTTTCATGGGAGAGGAGAGAGCACTTTCTCCCCCCCCTTTTTTTATCCTTCCTTTTTTTATTTTCTTTCATATGAACATTGTGGTTATTTCTGTTAGGTAGAAAGACTCCTAGAGTTTGCTAATGTAAAAACCTTATCCATATTTAAGAAAAACAAAAATATATTTGAAGTAAACTTGAAAGCACTTTTATATTAAAAGTATATTTAAAATAAAAAATGTGTATTATGTGTGTACTCTATGTGAATACATACTAATTTAGTAAATTCTAAGAAAAACTCTCAACAAAAATTTTTCAGAACACCTGCCACAGACAGGAATTTCATCTGGATCACAAGATAAAGTTACAGCTCTTGATTCTGGACCAGAAATGGCTGAACCTCAGGTGGCTGCAGCTCCTGTGATAACATCAAACTTGTCTGTTAAAGCACCTGAGTTTTATCCACCAGGATACGTCCATAACTTCAATCAGAATTTTGCAGTGAGTGTTTATCTTCGTTCTTAGTATATGCCACTTTGCTTGTATTCAAATTAATGTTTTCCTGAGATCTTGTATAATCAGATAACTTGAGTGCTGCATTTGCTGAAGAGATTCCAGAAACTGGTGATAACCTCCAAGTCAGAATGTTAAGTGGTAATGGGTGAATATTATGGTGTATGTGGGAGCCTTTAGCATGAGAGATACTGCTAAAGCTTGCTGCAGATAACCATGTTACTTGTTGATTTTCCAAGCATTGATTACGTCTTTTTTGCAACTACTTCTATTGTAGTTATATCTGCACTAGATTTTAAGTAAAGGCTTAAATACACATTTATGCAGATTTCACAGTTTTTGAAGCAAGTGTGGGAGAAAGCTTGAACTTTAGCTTTTCCAAGCACAGACTTTACCTTTTTGAAATTTGTTCTACAATGGGTGTTATTGACTGTGACTTTTAATTCCTTCCTTAGAAGTGGTATTGTATCACCAAAGTGCAGAAAAATAGTGTTAGGCTTATTCCTAGCAGTTACCTACCGACATAACTAATACATTTACAGCCAGGCTAAGGGTGATTTCAGATCAATATTGTAGATGCATCATGTAATAAAAGCTGGTACTTTCTATTTTTTACTCTGTTGTCTTCAGTGTTACTGCTTCAGTAAAGAGAAAGATATATGTGAATTCTTGCAATACCCTTTTGTGCAAGCAGCCGAATTCTGGTGTTATATATAAACAGGTGGGAACAATTACTTTTACAAATACAATCAAGTGATAAAAAACCCAACAAACAATTTATAGAAACATAGAGATTTTTAATAACTTTTAGAAAAATACTTGATTTGAAAGCTGAACGTGGTGGCTTGGATTTAAAGTCTTTTCCCCACCAGTAAAACTGATGTTATCTGAATGTTACCAGCTTTGCCAGCTTACTGAATAGAATTACTGTCCTGCATAATAGAAGCCCATAGCCGATATACAACTGCTAACGAAATGCCAACACAAACATGCTTCAGTGAATGGATAATCTAGGGGGAAAATGACTACTTTGCCCCAGTACGTGTTACATGTTTTCTATAAATAAAGGATTTCCGTTTCAAGACCAAAAAAACTGCCATTTGGGTTGGCATACATAATGCATGCTTACAATTACAAAGTTTTGAGGACATCAGTGTTGCTTTTCAGCTTTTTTGCAAAAACACACAAGCATGTAGGAGTTCCTGGTTGCTGTGTTGTAGGAATATGCTATGAATGTGACTCATCTGTTAATTAAAATACCTCTTAAAATGCTAGGCAAAACCTAGAACATTTATTTGCACGTATGTTGCAGGGGCCTTAATAGTGATGTTTCAGACGTTTGTCCTTCACTATTACAGTTTTTTCATGGTTTTGGCTTTTTTTTTTTTTGGCTTTTTGACGTGTTTTTATTTTGTTTTGGTTGGGTTTTGGTTTTGTTTTTTTTTTTAATTTTTAATGATTGGATTGATTTCACTTACAATAAAAATAAGAAATTTAACGCACTTCATTATTACACAGATTTTGATCAAAAAGTTTTAAAATTCTAATCAAAGTTTTGAGAAAATTCTGCTTTTCTGACTTAATACCTTTTAGCTTTCATTTATAACATCCCCTGGAATTTTATAGATCTGAAAGCTCCATTTCTCTTCTAAAATATACAGTGTTTTTACTGTTCAGCATTTATTGTTTTAGAAATAAAGTGATGATTTCTTCTTTGATTGTACATTATAGTAATTACTATGTGTGTCCATATCACATTTGCGTATGAGATTACTTGATCACTTCCCGTTAGTTCTGATACTCAAAACTATCCGTTCCCTGTGAAGACAGTGTAAGGGGTACAGCACACAAGGCATACTAGAATTTTCAGAAAAACTTTACCGGGACTTTAGGGAATAAAGACCCCTGTGGAATTATCTGTTTCCATACAGAGGTCAGTCCAATGAGAATTTGTGGATTTCTGCAGTAGAACTGATGACTAGATTTAGGTTTGGATTGCTAGCTGGAAATGTCAGACTTGTTCTCTGGCATGGGTGTATGATAATAACATGGCTGTCACTCCATCAGAAGGGCATAATGATGTCTTCACTTCGTAGGAGTGAGATTTGTATCATTTTAGGTGGAATCCCACCATCAGCATTTGATCTGGCTTTGGTTTTTACTTCATTTAATTTCCAAAAGGAGGTTAAGCAGCCTCAGTGCTGGATTTGTATGTTTAGCCAAGCAGGAGGGTGCCACTTCTCTTCGTACAGAATGGCTGGGTGATTTTGTATAAGCAACAATCTTTGTGTTGTCCCAAAAGTGGAGTTGTTACCTGGTGTGCAGAACAACTATGTATACTCAGAGTTGAGGTATTTTATTGTCAGCTGTTTTGCAAAGTAGGGTGCTAGGTGGAAGCTCCACAAAGCTAGCACACCTTAGTTTTGTGTACATCAGGTATACACATTTCAGAGAACAGAGAAATTGCTTATCATTGGTCGAAAGTTGCCAAATATATTATTAATTAGCACTTTATTTTAGCACATATCCTTCATGAATGGGGGTGGGGAGACAGCAAGCTTTTTGGGTCCTGAATTGAGTAATTCAGCAAATCTTCCTCTGCCACATTTGCTTTTCACCCAGCTACTGCCCTTTCTTGTTGATTACTTGTTTTTCTAGTATTTGTTTTGTGTTCCGCACCTTCTGGTGCAGATGTTCTTTTATCAGTCCTTTAGCTCTGCTACCAAGGCTAAGGTGGTTAGTAAGGAATGTATTGCTTATACAAAGTCTTGTTTTTTCCAAGTGATGTTGTTAATCATAGTTTATCACCCATGGCAAATTCCATTTTCACTGTACATCATTTGTACTTAAGTTTGCAATAAATTCGTTGTAAATACATTAAGTGCATATAATCTGAAAGGGAGAAAACCATGTTCCTAAGAAGTCTGAAGAGAAATCAAATCAACAATTAATTATTAGTGATGAAGTTCCTAAGTGGAAATATTGTGAATACTTACCAGGTATAGGAAGATGGTAGTTAGCACATGTTCAGGAACTGAGCCCCAGAGCAGATTTGGCCCATGTATCTTCCTTTTTGTTACTTTACGTAAATCAGAGAAGGTTTAGTACCTACTTAGCTTTTTCACTGTTGTTTTTTTGCAACTCATGAATTGACTCTTAGTAGAAGCAGAGGCAGAAGAGAGGCAAATCCTCTCTTAGCAGAAGAGAGGCAAATCCATTATCCATTATTGGTGAATCTTTTGTTGTGAATAATCCAGAATCCCATCCTATAGCTATCAAACATAAAGGAGAAGGATTAGACCGTGTTAGCTTGACTGAGAAATCATTGAAATTCGTGGAAAATTTCTATGAGACTTTCATGGCTTTGAATCATAAATTTGTAAACTTACAGCCTCCTGTTAGCCAACTAATAAAAATAATGGGAGGGATTTGCTTTGTTTTTATTTCTTTGATAAAGTACTCAGTGCTGTCTTCTCTGTTAAAATCTGCTACTGAGAAACATGAGTGGTTTATTTCTAGAAGTTACTGGGCTAAACTTAATTATTTTTGAAGTATCAAGTATTACTTATTTAGCAATATCCAACTTTATTATGATGTTTCAGTTATTCTTTTTTCTCTCCTATTTGTTCTTTTTGCTGGCATAGTTACTAAAACCTAAATTGCATTTGGATTTGCGTATTTAGTACAGGTAGGTTAATGTGGTATAGAGCCTCTGTGTTTAGCCTTTTAATTACAAAATGGGAAGAGTGTAAGTACAGAGACACTAGTACACCAGATGGTATTGGGCCCCTTCCAGAACAAGGACATTCTCCTCCAAGACTGAATTCTTAGCAGGTAAAGATGAGAGGAAGATACCTTCTGCTCTGCTGAATGAGGACCTCCTAACAACCTGATGGCTGTCAGAAGGAGCAGCTTCTTTTACTAGTTACAGCAACAGCATTCACTGCAACCTGGCTGGAGAGTTTTCAAACAGGTTGTTTGGAGAAATGCTAGTTCATCTGTATATGACTAAGCTGCAGTTGTTGCAAAATAACATCATAGTTCTGTGGAAGAAAATAGTTCAAGTTGATTCTATGATTGTACAGAACTTTTCCTGGGGTACTTGAAATTGCCTAGTAAAAGTTGATTTCCTTGAGCAAAATAGAGTATTCAGCAAGTTACACTTAGGCCTGTTAGCCTTTATTCTTTGGCTTTTTAAGCTCCAAACCGTAAGAATGGTAGGATACTTTCACTTGGAAAGGACCTCTAAAGCTCCTTGTCTCCATTCCCCAACTCAAACTAAAATTAACTTGGACCAGGTTGTTGAAAGCTTTATCCTTATGGGTAGTAACAATTTGCCACCATTTCCATAAACCCTTTTTTTTTCACCTGTTTCTTGTGGGAAGTATTATGTGACTTTGCCCAGTGAATAACACTAAAGACAAATACTCAATTAAACATCATAGGAAATCTTTCTAGTTTTTTCTTTTATTATATTGATGTGTCTCCCATTAGCTTAAGTTGTATACCCTTATGACATGGATCTTTGAAGAATTTTGGAAAGTCTGCCTTCTTCCCCACACATTCTTCACAGGTCATGAAATTAATGTCAGTACTTGACCGTCAACAATGTGTATCTGTCTTTCTCCACAGTTCATATCCAGGAAAAAATCTTTCACAGATCCATGTTGTTTCACAGTAGAGGAGAGACTGAGGCATTTTGAAGACAGAAAGTAAATTACATCCTCTCAATAAGGGAGAAGTGGGGAAAGCGAGAATGTACTTAAAATCCTTGGCGGTGTATTTATGTCCACTAAATGAAGAAAACTGTTACCTCACTAACATTTTTAGATAATTTTTTTCTTTACAGTTCATATATGTTAAACCTTTTCCTTGTTAACTAGTAGATGAATTGACAGGTCTGATATTCTGTGTTACCCTTGTGTCCTGAATAATGATAAGTCATTTCTTTAGCAGTCCCTTTTCAGGCTCCTGCTCGCACTTCTGAAACCTATGTAAGAATGCTTTTCACCATCTTTTGTATAGTGTGACAAAGTGAATTATTTGTACTCTGTTATTACTAGTGACATCACAAAGTATCCTCCTTACTTTGCTATTCCTCTCATATGCTAGCATTGTAATACTTCAGAACAGTATTGACTTCAGATACCGTTACATATGTTCATTTCTGAATGAACAAAATTGACAGCCTTCTGTCCATCAGCAGGAGCGTAAACACGGATAAAAGTGGTCCTGTGCAAGCTCATCCTTCCTTTAGGGAGCAGGTGTGTTTACTGCCTGGTTTTTAACCTCAGTTGCTGCAAATTAATGCAATACCATTGGAATTGTTTAATTTCATGCTCTGTAATCTTTTATCCATTGTCAAGAGATGCAGATTCACTGACTTTAAAAAACACTTTCTGCATGGGGACGCTAGTCTGTATTTATTATATTTCTGTAATTTGTTCCCATTCTGCTTGTTTTGAAGCACTATACACTCTATGTAAGCCCAGAATACTTTGTTTCAAGTTCCTGATTATTTTTCCTTCTACAGTTCATATATATATGCAGCACTGTCTGCACATCAGGAATGGATGTTGAGCCTCAGTTCATTAGTTTTATTCTTAACTTATATACCTACTTTGTTGCTTAGTTAATCTTGCATCCAACTTGGCAAGCTTGTTGATTTCTTTTTCATCTGTCTTTTGGTGTGTTTTGCTGGGAGACCCTAATCTCTATAGAATGTTACCTAGTTCTTAAGATGATGGGACTCTTGGAGCTTTCTGATGCACTGAGGTTTATGTTCTCTAACAATGTTGAAGTAAAATGTGTGACAAAGATCACTATCAAGCCTGCAGAGACTTGCAACTAAGGCTATATGGTTACTTCTGGATATAGTAAGTGTAACAATGTTATTTTACGTTCCTTTTAAATAGTTGGTATATTATTTCACTGCTATAGGATTCTTCCTTTGAAGATAGATACGATGGCTATCTGACTTTGGCAGAATATGTACAAGACTTCCTAAATCACCTCACCGACCAACCAGCTTGTTTTGAAACTGAAATAGAGCAGTTTGCTGAAACACTGAATGCCTGGGTCACTTCGGGTGAAGATTTACAAGGGCTTGTTGAACTCATCTATCAGCAGGTACCCTGTGTATTCTGTCTTATAACATTGATACTGTGCCTCTATTACCTAGTGTCCAAGGTACGCATACCCGTATTATTTGTCATGTACTTGTATCTATGTAGTAGTTTAATGAATTTTTCCTTTTAGACTGGAGCATATTGGGGGAAGATTTTGCTAAATCAAGTTCAAATGGTAGCTGAAGTGTGGGATACTTGGACGATTGATAAATTTTTGTCTCCTGGCTCACATACAAGATTTGAAATTACAGTTAGAGGGAGTTATATTTGAATTGCTGTATTTCTATAGTAAAGATTGAACACACTCTTAAGCAATGTCAGTGTTAATACATTTTTATTCTATCCTGTAAAACACTTTTTTCATAATACTAAGATACTTTTAATTCCTTGATATTTTAAAAAATTAAATTCATACCTACTGTACGTGTCACCCCTTGGGAAACACTCCTTTACTGACAGACTTTCTTATTCATTTGGAATATACCTATTTCAGAACAGCATAACCAGGGGAAAGGAAAGCTCATCTAATGGTAACTAGGTCCAGTCCCATTGATGACTGTGGAAATGAGGACAGAGACCTTGAGCTGAACTCCGTACTAATTGGGGGAGCCATTGGAACAAACAACTTAATATCTGTTGCTTAGCAAATGAGCTGTTGTTACTGTCTTTTGGCCTTGCTGCAGAGTATGAAGTCACACTTGCCCTTGCTATTTATTACCTTAGGTGTCTTTCACTTTTCTGGGTTGGTTGCTTTTGAATTCTACCTTGGAGAATGCAAACTCTTATTTACCTTTTACGTGCAGATACTTGCAGAATATTTTAATCTGGGCAGGTAGAAGCTGCATGACTGACTGACCATGGTACAGAACTGTAGAGTCTCAAGTTTCTTACTGTCGTACAGAACTGATGGACATTTAATTCAGAACAGATTAGTGAGACGTGAAGATTATCCATGCTGTGTTTGGCACCATTGTTTTCTCATCTTTTATTTGAACACATGGATGACAATGATTAACATATTCCATATAACTTTATTGGAAGAAAAAGAGGGATTTATCCAATTTTTAACTTCATACAAGTTAAATAGACTCTCGTTTAATGTAAGTCTTCAGTGTTGCCTTTTTCTGTCTCCCCCTACTTAAAAGCAAGTCCAGTTGGTTGGCTGTGTCTTCCTCAACAGAGAAGCATTGAGTGTTATCGCTCAATTAGGGCTAGAGCACCTCTCCTATAAAGACAGGCTGAGAGAGATGGTTTTGTTCAGCCTGGAGGAGGCTCCAGGAAGATGTTACAGCTGGAACAGGTTGCCCAGAGAAGTTGTGGATGTCCCATTCCTGGAAATGTTCAAGACCAGGCTGGATGGGGCTTTGAGCAACCTGGTCTAGTGGCCTGGCTGAACAGGTTGATATTGTGGGAACTCGGGATAAAAAAGAGAATCTATCATCTGTAGGAGAAGGTACTGTTGCCCCGTGAGGAACACAAGGATGTTGTTGAGTTATGGAGGGAGAACATCGGAAACGTGAAGGCACAGATGGAACTAAATTTGGCCACTGCCATAAAAGATAATAAAAAATATTTTTACAGATATGTAAGCAATAAAAGGAGAGCCAAGGAGAACCTCTATCCTTTACTGGATACTGGGGGAAACCTAGTGGCCAAGGATGAGGTACTTAATGCTTCCTTTGCCTCAGTCTTCGGTAGTCACACCAGCCATTCCCAGCATACTCCAGTCCCTGAGTTGGATGGCAGAGATGGGGAGCCGATTGAAGTCCTCTTAATCCTGGAAGAAATGGTTAGGCACCTCCTGTACTCAGCACTGGTGAGGCCACACCTTGAGTCCTGTGTTCAGTCTTGGGCCGTTCACTGTAAGACAGACATTGAGGTGCTGGAGCGGGTCCAGAAAAGGGCAGCAAAGCTGGTGAAGGGTCTGGAGCACAAGTGTGATGAGGAACAGCTGAGGGACATGGGGGTCTTTAGTCTAAAGGAATAGCTGTCTCTACAGTTACTTGAAAGGAGGATGGAACCAGGAGGTAGCTGATCTTTTCTCACTCGGTAACAAGCAATACAATAAGAGGTAACAGCCTCAAGATGTGCCAGGGGAGCTTTAGGTTGGATATTAGGAAAAATTTCTTCACAGAGAGGGTGGTCAGGCATTGGAACAGGCTGCCCAGGGCAGTGGTGGAATTACCATCCCTAGAAGTGTTCAAAAACCGTGTAGATGTGGCTGTCTGTGACATGGTTTAGTGATGGACTTGGCAGTCCTGGGTTAAAGATGGCAGATTTACACATGCTAGCTGTAAAGAAAAAGACTAAAATGAATGAAACCCAAGTCCTGTACACTCTTCCCTTTGTCTGTCTGTCAGGTATCTCAGCGTGTCTGTAAGTATTAACTATATACTTCTCCTTCTTCTTCCTAACCCATTTATGTCTCTGTACAGAGTGAAGTGTTGGTTCTCATGTTTTCCAAAAGTTGGACACTCTGACATTATAGCTTAAGAATCTTGGCTGTTGTATAGTTAATACACCAACTGAAATTTCTGAAGATAGGTGTTGGTAGATTAGCCTTCTGCTTAGATTGTGACTATTTTGAGTTAGATATAATCTGGGATTGCCAGCAACAAAGTTCAAAAAATTCGTGTGTGTGGTTGGTTGGTTGGGGGTGTGTGTCAGGAGAGAGAAATGAAATTAAAGTGATGTATTTTGCTTTGTAAAGTGGGAACACCTCTTTTAGTCCAAGCAACTAATTGAACCAAAGCACCAAAAAGCTCATTAGATATTTCACATGCCTCTTACTGGAAACTAGATTCTATTTTACTGTCTTAGTTACATTAACTTATATCTTCCAAAAACACTTCAGTTTTTACCAGCAACTTTACACACGTAGTACAGTTACAGTAAGTGCATTTTTCTCTGCTTGTAGAAGGTAATTAGCAATAATGCATTGACATGCTAATGGCAAAATGCTTTTTATTTGAATGTGTTAGAAGCAGAAGCATGCAAGCATATCTATAGTGCTCATAGATGATCAAGATGTAAAAGGAATGTTCAAAGATGATTCAGCCATGGAAGAAGTTTAATGAATTCTTGATAACCCTGTTTTCTTTTTGGCAAAGCTGCTGGAGTTATTTACACCAGAGCCTCTTTTCACTGAAGTTGTATCTGAGAAATAATCTCTAAGAAAAGCATTGTTAGAAGATAGTTTAAAATAATTGAACAGTAATAAACTGCCAAAATAAGGGGATGTTCTGCATTAAGTTCTAAGAGAGGTTGCATAATAGACACTGTTGAATTCTCGATTGCTTTTTTCCAGCTTGAAATTTTAAAGTATAACATTTAAAGCAAAATATTTTTCAGACAGTGTATAACTTAAGTTGTAGAATTTCATTACTGCCACCTGTTTTTAGATGACAAAAGTGTAAATGTTCAGAGTAATGTGACTTGTTTTAGAAAAAAAGACTCATCAAGAGCTATTAACTGTAATGATAATAGTCTTAACCTCTGAATCAGGAGTTCACTATTCTGCAGATTGCTGGAGTGTGTACAGGACAAAGTATTTGTCTTTACTTGCCATGTTCTTGTACTTTTTCCCTGGGCATTCATTATTGCCAAGAATAGTTTCTGGGATAAACAGCCCTTTGAATGAAGGAGACTTCTTGTTGTTGTTGTTGTTGTTCCTGCTGTTTTGATACACTCCTTGTGAGAGAGTGTGTCCTTGGAAAAATGTTTTATTGTGCACTCTTGATTTTTCATATAAACAGTTTATAAGTGACCTTCAGACACTTTTTGGTGTAGGTTATAACGGAGGAGCACAGTTGAGACGCACAGGATAATAGTGGCTGTTTTCTTAAAGCCACAAAATCACAGTATATGTATTTTCAAGTGCAGAAATGCATTTAGCAGAGTGTTAGTGAGATGCAAAAATTAACATGACAAATAGTAATTATTAATCTTCTGCTCTTCAGTTGTCCTATCACTTGTTGTTAAGCAGTTTTCAAAAAAACTTTTAAAGATACTTCCTGATAGCCAAATAATGAGTTTATGAGTAATTTATTTTTTTCCACTTTTATTTTGGAAGGCCACATCTGTCCCAAATTTTTCGTACATGGGAGCACGGTTGTGTAACTATCTATCTCACCATCTAACCATTAGTCCACAAAGTGGGAACTTCCGACAGCTGTTACTTCAAAGGTCAGTATGAGTATGTCATTTTAAGCCTGTTACTTTCTCAGGTTACACGTCTTCTTACTTTGTATGTAACTCTTAGCATCATGTGCAAAGAGGTACCTGTATAAAATAGAAGTTTAGATTGAGGATTATTAAAGCACAGGTACATACTGGATATCAAATACATATATTTTAAAATATTTTATAATAGGAGAACAGGATTCCATTTGGAGTTCTGTTGGCTCTTTTGAACTCAGTATCTCAGACTGATCCCAAATTACAGGGTAAATTGGAAAGCTAGTCAACTTTGGAAGTATACTAAATGCACATATATGTACTCTCCTTGTCCTTTGACCCTTGCCAAGACTCATTTCATTGTGGATTTTGGTGTTTTGTTTTTTTTTTCTTTAATTACTTTTCTGGCTGGAGTTGCTGTGTAAGGTTTATTCATTGATCAGCTGACTGACTTTCTGTCTGTGAAGTGGGTGCATAAAATACAGAAGAATACATTTCTTCAGTTTTCAGTTTCCACAGAATTCCTAGGGCTTACAGTTCAATAATGACTAGGCTGTGTGGTTGACAAAAAAGTAACATTTTTTTAAATGGACTATTTCCTTTTAAATCTTACTGCATCACATTTGAAGCAGTACACTTTACTATTTCAGAATTCTTTAGAAATTAGCCTTTTTCTCTTTAAGGACTTTTGGCTTTATAAGCTTCAGGCTTGCTTCTTGTTTTAGAAGTTTCACTTAGTGCACCAGTGTTTAGGAGCAAAAGCATGAAAAACTTCAACAGCAATGCATTACGATGATCTTTCATCCAGAGCGGTAACTTCTGGAATGTCATGGTTGAAGACAGTAGGTAGCTAAAAATGATACAGCCACTTGCTTACTCTCCCTGCCCCTCAGGAGGATGGAGGAGGCACCTGGGAAGAAAAGACAATCTGATAGGACACAAATTGAAGGAAAAATAATAATAGTAAAGCCAAGTGGCTTGCTTAAATGCAGTGCATGTTTCACATTCATGGATAACCTGTCCAATAGTGTCCATGGTGAAATCTGCCCCTCAATCACAAGCCCATCTATATGTTGCATCTCTTCCTTGATGGCTTGCATGAGCCCACTGGGTTAAAAATAATTCACCCTTATGTTGCCAGTCTAAATCCACCTGAGGCACCTCAATCTTAGCAGCCTGATCCACCTTTTGGTTGTTTTGATGTTCTTCAGTGGCCCAGCTCTTGGGTACTTGAGTATCTATCTGCATGGCATACTTTTACAACAGTATGCCATACCCGAGCAGCAGTCATAACTGCCTAGCCTCGGGACTGATCTCTGGATGGTATTCTTAAATAGTTGTTTAACTCTGAGGACATTCAGGACACATTCAGGAGACATAGCAATAGGATCGTGCTGGTTTGAACATCCTTAGAATATTCAAAATTCTCGAGCTATTATAGTTAGCCTGGAGAAAAAGGGGAAGATGGAGGAAGGTATCTCCTCCAGGAGAAAGGGAAGATGGAGAAATATTATCTCTGCCATTGGCTCTCTTTGAGAAAAGTAAAAGATGTAATTACTGATAGCTTCCGATAGATGGCTCCCGAATTACGGAGACGAGGCAAGGTTGAGTAGGTGAGACCAGATGAGTCTCGCAAGCAGCAATTTTATCGTATCATAAGCCAGTGTTACAAAGTACAACAAAATGTTAACCTTAACCCATCCCCCAGAGTTGATAAACGTCACAACAGGCAGCATGTACAGTAAGTAAGATGTTACGTACCACAACTCCGAGAACACACGCAGCAACTCTGAGAGAAAATCAGTCAATATTGTGACCAGTGACTGTTAAACTCAAATAATGAATGCTTATAGTAAATTTTTTTTAACACACTGTGGTCAGATCTGTTGTTAGCTCAATCCTTTGTGCCCCATGTTGGGCTCCCAGAAGGACTGTCGTGGTTTAACCTGACAGGTAGCTAAATGCCTCACAGCCACTCACTCGCTCCTCCAGTGTACTCACGTAATTAAAGCAGCAGCGTGCTATTAGCATTATTCTCATACTGAAGCCAATCCACAGCACTGTACTGTAGCAGCTACCAGAAAGAAAATTAATTCTATCCCAGCTGAAACCAGGCCATGGAGAAACTGGAAATACTTACATTTTCCCTCTTCCCAACAGGAGCCTTTTTGTCTTCAAAATTATGACTTTATCTTGGGGTTTTTTTAAATGTTTGTTACCTGAAGATGAAGGAAATAACCTGTTACGGTTGGGTTATCAGGTTTCTGGTGTTTTTTTTTAAGCCAACCCAATAGATAACATCCATTTTGGCACCCTGCTTATGTTTTTATTATTAATATGGATGTAATTGGGAAGGGGGATAAACAAACTAACATTATAACCACAGGGAGCTCCTCTTCTGTTTCTCAGCCCAAGTTTCTACTTTAAGCAGCTGAAATAGAAAATGTAGATTTTTCAGTTTCTCTAGTGTTTCTTAATCGACTGCATGACCATTGAAAGTACATTAGAAGTTGTCTGGCTTTCCTTTATCTCAAATATTTTTTAATTCTGTTTTTGAACTGCTATGTAAGCTTGTATTTTTGGCACAGTTGTTGAATACTAGAAAAATTATCTCTCAGCCATATTATCTTAATCCTCTGTATTTATATCTAGATTATAGAATCATGGAATGGTTTGGTTCGGAAGGGACCTTAATAATCATCCAGTTCCAACCCCCTGCCATCAGCAGGTACACCTTCCACGAAAGTAGGTTGCTCCAAGCCCCTGTGTCCAGCCTGGCCTTGAACACTGCCAGGGATGGGGAAGCCACAGCTTCTCTGGGCAACCTGTGCCAGTGCCTCAGCACCCTCATAGTAAAGAACTTGTTCCTAATGTCTAATCTAAATCTACCGTCTTTCAATTTAAAGCCATTCCCCCTTGTCCTGTCACTGCTTGCACTTAAAAAAGTTTCTCTCCAGATATCTTGTCAGCCCCTTTATGCGCTGGAAGCTGCTCTAAGGTCTCCCTGGAGCCTTTTCCAGACTGAACAATCCCAGCTCTTTCGGCCTGTCTTTGTAGGAGAGGTGCTCCAGCCTTGCACTTAAAAAAGTTTCTCTCCAGATATCTTGTCAGCCCCTTTATGCGCTGGAAGCTGCTCTAAGGTCTCCCTGGAGCCTTTTCCAGACTGAACAATCCCAGCTCTTTCGGCCTGTCTTTGTAGGAGAGGTGCTCCAGCCCTCTGATCATCTTTGTGGCCCTCCTTTGGACTCACTCCAATAGCTCCACATCCTTCTTATGTTGGGGGCCCCAGAGCTGGACATAGGTGGAGGTGGAGTCTCACCAGAGTGGAGTTGAGGGGGAGAATCACCTCCCTTGACTTGCTGGTCACGCTTCTTTTGGTGCAGCCCAAGGTGCAACTGGCTTTCTGGACTGCTAGTACTTGTCAGCTGATAATCAATTTTTCATCCACCAGTACCCCCAAGTCCTTTTCCTCAGGGGTTGTCTGAATGCACCCAGCCAATATCCATGTTTGGGATTGCCGCAACCAAGCACTTGGCCTTGTTGAACCTCAGGAGTTCTGTACTCACCCACCTCTCAAGCATGTCAGGGTCCCTCTGAATCACGTCCCTCCCCTCCAGCATATCACCACACAGCTCAGTGTCACGAACTATGCGTCACTGTCACTTAAAATGGTGAGATAAAGAATTTATTGAGTAAGTGTAAAGGCATCTAAGACAATGTGGTCAGCACCCTGAAAGGAGGAATATGTCTTTCAGAGTATATCTATTTTTGTGGACATTTGGCTGCCTCTGTTAAACTTCCTGGACTTATATTCTAATATATAAACTGTGTAACTGTCTTCTAATTTTTTCATGTTGTAATTTGCTCTATTTCCTTTTGCTATCTCCGATTTCAACGCTTGAAAACATCATCATGTAATCGTATGTATTCATCTAAAAAGAGACAAATCCACAGTGTCTTTGTGAAGTCCTCTCATTTCCTTCACAAATTGTACTTGCCAGCATTCTGTTAAGTAAGTAGCATGTTAAATACATTGGGATGTCTACAGATTTATGATTTTATTTTTACAGGTGTCGAACAGAGTATGAAAACAGGGATGCAGCCACCAGGGGAGATGAGATTACTCAGAAAGAGTTTCATGCCTTTGTGCTGTTCCTAGCTGAACTCTACCTTAATCTAGAGGTAAGAAGAAAGTCGCATGTGATGTGGTTCTTTGTGAATTTTTTGTTGTCTTCAGGTAAACACTGTAAATGGCATGTAATTTGAGCTGTTTTTTCCTAAAGGGAGAGGGGAATAAATTAAAAGAACTTTAGAACAGTTTCATTATAGTGTATGTCCAGGAAATAGGACAAGATCAGTAGAAGTTTATAAAGATATTTTCTGTAAGTGTAAGAATTCATAAGAAGAATGAACCACAACCACCTTTGGAATGCAGCTTCTGGTATTTTCTTTAGAGTGGCAAAACCCCCAAATGAGTACGCTTAACCAACACAGGAAATGTTACAACCTTGCAGAAGCAGATCAGGATTGATAACCCATGTAATTCAGTATCCAGTCACCAATAGGACCTATTAGCAAAACCTTGAGGAAGATGTGGGGATCCTTAAAATGAGCAATTAAAAATGCAGGCCTTTAAAGATATTTCTTCTGAAGGTTGAGCCCTTGGCTTATGCATTAAGCATGTAATCTTGTATTTAGGTTGGGGGTTTTTCTGTATCTGTAACACGTACAAAAAAGTTTATGTACACTTACAGCTTCTTTGACTCTTACACTTGTGAGTTCAGTAAGATCACTGCCATAGTGTACATTAATATATTTTTAGCAGGATTATTTCAACAATTTAATTTAAGCAAACAATATAAAAAATGTTCTTCTGGCATGAGGAAAGAAAATAAATGTGTGACTTTTCCATTTCTGTTTGTACGTAGACCTTGAAATCTGCTTTTCACTTGCTAGAAGTACACAGGAAAATTTGCAGAGGGCTTTGGGGGAGGAGGAGTTGTCCAGTTCTGTGGAACATACAATTTATTTTTTAAACCATTTCCTGTACTTTCTGAAATACATAATGAGCACCTTCCAGAAGTAAGCCACTACAGCTGCAGAGAATACATACTGTAGCATGGGAAAGAACATGGGGTTCTGGGATTTTGTGGACCATTTGCCAGACATTTGGTAGCTTTTCTAAGCAATTTACTAGCAAACAAAATGCTAGGCATGCATTGTTATGTATATGTCAGAATTGTAAGGTGTTCTCAAAGTCTGTGTTTTAAAACAATTACAGTATTTGGAATATTTTTCCAGTTAAAGAGCTCAACTATGTTGATCACGAACCAAATCATACAGCATTCAAGAGAGAAAATGTGACTAAATTGGTTTCTAAAACTTAACTCTCTTAAATTTGTTGTTGTTGGGGGTTTTTTGCAGATTAAAGGAACAAAGGGACAGGTAATGCGAGCAGAAATTCTTCAGGAAGGCCTTCGGGAATTACTAAATGCGCTCTTCTCTAATCCTGTGGACAGTAACCTGATATGTGCAGTGAAACTGCTGAAGGTGAGCCAGTAGTTTTAAAAGAAAAAATAATCAAGCTTTTTAACCTTCCTGCCTTTGGAAGCAGTGCGGAAAACTGCAAATGAGGAAGTGTTTATAGGGTTTTATGCATTACATCATCAACAGAGGAAGCTGTACTTGTTAGCTGGGATTTTTCGCTTAGTACCATTATGAAATTGAGCCAACAAAAAAGTAGTGTAAGATCTAAAAGTAAAATGCAAGGATGTTCTGTACATACAAGAGCAATAGAACTGAAGCCAAGATGCAGAGGAGTAAGCAGTCACTTCAGGTCTTCTTTTGCTTTTTCTGGTGTGGGAGAAGAACTGTAACCAATTTGAATGAATTGTGGGGTTTAGGATATGTTTTCTGTTCTGAAGGATGCTCAGTCGTTAGCATCTGCTGCTTTTTGTGGCAAAAGGTTCTTGGTACCAGTTACTTCATACTGTATTGTCTGTATCATTGCTACTGCACAAATAAATATATTCCTCTTTCATGATGAAAACAAACCTCTTTGCTCTTAAAACTTTCCTTAAAAAAAATGGTAACCTCTGCGCAGGGAGAAACTTTTCTCTTTGATACCCATGATTATAATCATAGTTGGGAAAGCGCTATTATAGGAATGAAAGTTGAAAGCTAAACAGTATTTTTTTGGATTTTAGTTTCAAGGTGGGGAAGGGGAGGGTGATTGATTGTTTAGTTGTTTTTACCTCATTTTTCCCTCTTCTTCCCACGCCACTATTTTTCAGACTCTTCTATCTTGAATTTCAATTCTGGAAGCTTCTTTTGATATGGTGAATAGGGAAGAGAGGTTTTACATCTTCCAGTTTAAACCTTTCATTTGAAGTTTGGATGTTTAAACAGGTTGCTTCAAAGCAAAAATGTGAGGTTGTATTCAATGAGCACGATCCCTCCTGTGGCAAATCCTTATGTTGGCAGTGCTTGCTGGAGGCAAGGCTCATTGAAGGACTTTCCAAAAAGGCAGTATGCAAACCAGGAGGCTTTCCAGTGCTGCTGGTTTTTATAATCGTTCTCAAAAGATGGAGGTCTCACTATTTCTGTGAATGTTCTTGGAATATTTACTTGACTTCACAGCATCCATTCAAAAATAAAAGACAGCAATCTAAATTATTTTATGACACAGTGCTAATCTAAAAGGTGTTACGGAACACAGTTGTTTTGGGGTTTTTTGATGAAAGTGTTTTCTGGTGTCTTACAGTACCTACAAATGTTAGAGTATACGTGTAGCTAGATTGGGCTACCTCATGAAACAGAATCACACAGAATCACAGAATTGTTAGGGTTGGAAGGGGTCTCTGGAGATCACCTAGTCCAACCCCTTGGCTTCACTACTGAAGCAGTAAATGTATCCTGTTGTCTTTTCCATTTAATATAGTGATAGATACAGGTGTTTTACCTGTTTGTTTTGCAGTATGTTTATTTTTAATTAAACCTCCTTTGTGCTACTATCTAATTGTATAGGATCAAGGTAGAACTGCAGTAGAAAATTTGGAATACCTGACAAATGCTGACCAAGATGCTTGCTTTTATCTTTGCATTTTATTCCTTTGTATCATCAGGTGCCATACCAAGCATTTTGGAAAGTGTAGTATTTATGCTGAGTAAATCAGGAATTGCTATAACTTTGATCATAGAGGCAAATTATTTTTCTTGTGATTTAACTCCTACTGTGCAATTACTGGGCAGCGAATTACCTATTTTTAACAGAAAAGGCTTTCATCCACAGCAGTTCTAGACTATCTGCTGCTAAACTCTCTCAGCAGCAGCTTCAGCCTCACAGATTTTACGGATTAAAATTCAGGCTGGCTTAATTAGATAATTCCTGGCTCCTCATAGATACCCAGGTGAAATTCTCTGGCATGTGTGATGCTAGCTAAGTTGACTGAAGTGTTTCTAACGTTTATCAAACTGTTCGTTACTCTCAGGTAAGCTAGTGGCATTATCTGCAAAAATGTCTTCTTTTTTTATAGCATATACTTAAGTAAAATCTGACAAATGTCATTGAAGAGTTGTTTCATATCATATTTCAAGACTGAAAGGAGAGAGGTGGTTATGAACTTCTAGGTGACATAAACATTGGACATAGAGCTACTATACTGCCTGTAACCTAAAATAAACTATTTACAAGGTCTTTTAATCTGTTTAGCAAACAGACGTTGGCAATTGGGAATGTCAGTCCTCAAGTAGTCGCTCAGTGCATCTAAACGTTATGAATTGTTACAGAATCTGTTCTGTTGACAGTTTATTAATGTTTTGTAATTTTAAAAAAAAAAAAAACAAACCTAAAAAAGACTCCAAAACAAAAAAAAAAAAAAAACCAAACCAAAACTAATCCCATGTCTTTAGTTGACAGGCTCAGTTTTAGAAGATGCCTGGAAAGAAAAAGGAAAAAGTGATATGGAGGAAATTATTCAGAGAATTGAAAATGTTGTGTTGGATGCAAACTGTAGCAGGTGAGAAGATAAATTTATGTGCAGTGTTTTGTTTTTATATTAAACAGAACACCTTAATCTTCAAGAACAATGAACAACACATCCAAAACATTTTAAAAACTTATGTTTATGAGAAGATAGGGAATGTTTGGGTTACTTCCAATGTATAAAATCAAGTATTTCTCAGTTGAGGAGGTTTGGGGAGGTTGTTTGAGTTTTGGTTTTGTTTTTAATTTTGTATTTTGGTAGGTATGTGTGTCCACAGTAATGATTTTTTTTAATTACTTTTTTTTTAACATTTTAGATTTTGAAATCTTTCCTAACTGCTTTAGTTTCTAAGAGCAAGTATATATATACAAGGAGACAACAGTGGTGATATCTCATAGTTTATACTTTTAAATATTATTTTAACAGTATTAAATATGTAACATTATTAAATATATAAAAATAACTATAAATGTAATGGCAAAGTGAAACTTGGTTTGATTTTGTTTTTTCTGGAGAGCATGGTCTTACTGCAGTCTGGAGAAAAATTAGTGGTATCAACTGTATGGATGAGGTTATCTGATTCTTTTGTACTTCATCCTCAGCTTCTGGCAAACTCCCTAAAAACCTATAGAGGGTCCAGGCACTATGACCTGATCTCTTGCCATAAAGAGAGAGGCCAACAGGTAGCTTCTAGCATCTGTGGGTTGTAATTGAGCTGTCCCACAGGGAGGATGAGGAAAATTTTGCATCAGAAAATTGGTATCATAAGCAGAGGCTTCAAAGACACAGAAGCACAAACTTTCTTTAATAAAGAAAAGAAGTGAAGATTTTATTTATTCCTTAATGAGAGTCTTCTCCATGGAATTGCTTAAAAGAAGAAAGCAGTTTCTCTTATTTTAGGGGTGATACAACTCGTGATACCTAATGTATTGGAGACATTACTTGTCACTGTTGACTGCAAAATTACAGTGTGATTAAGAGGGCTAAAGTTAGGAGCATAAATTAGATTATTAAATACAATTTGAAGATCATCTGCCTGTTTTTCCTAGTGCAGTCCTTTTACCAGAAAAACTTGTGCTGCAGGTTTGGTATCTTGATAGAAACTATAGCAATTTCTGTTTCATATGGGCTCCTTACTTCACCACAGAGGAAGTGGTGAGGGTGAGAGTCTTATAATAGACACTTAAAGCACCTAGACTTACAGGGGAAAAAAATTAACTCAACATTATCTGTAGACTGGACCAGATTTTGTCCTTTTTAGAGCTTTTGGGAGGGGATTTAACTATGTAGTATTTGTGAGATATGAGAAACCCAATTTCCTGCTTAGCACAAAACATTCTAACTTTCGTAGTGCTGCTTTTTTTTATTTCAGAGATGTGAAACACATGCTTCTGAAACTGGTAGAACTGCGATCAAGTAACTGGGGTAGAGTTCATGGAACTTCTGCACATACAGAAGCTACCCCTGAAAATGACCCTAACTACTTTATGGTACGAACATACTGACACTTCCGTTCCTTAATTTAATGTGAATTTAATTTGGTTCGTAGACAGTCACGTTGCTGAAAACTACAAAGCTGTCTCTCCAAATACATATAACTTTCTGTGTAACTTTATTCTTAGAATGAGCCAACATTTTACACTTCTGAGGGTGTTCCTTTCACTGCAGCGGATCCAGGTATGTCACCAGCTTAGCATATCTTTCTTCTCAATCTTTAAAAAGTTATAATCAATTTTGTCCTGATTGTGCTTCAAACTTCTGAAACCCATACAAATTAAAAGACAAAATTATGTCTGAATTTCTGACTTTGTGTACCCCATGCCTTATTCTACATTAAAAGAAAATAAATGTTTGACATGGAAAGTATGTATTTGAATTCCTGTTGTTCAGAAGAATTTGTGCCATAGTCGTCAGCACTTGATCTCTACAGAAAGCCAGAAATCTTCAAGTCTTTTTTTGTTGTTAGTAGCAAAAAAGTTTGGTTTTTCCTTGTTTTCCTTGTTTTCTGTAATCTGAGCACAGTGTGGCATGAAATCATTTGACGTAGACATCTGTGCTGGGAAGTTAACTATCGTGCTTAAATGTCGATTCATGTCCTGAGAAAGACAGTAGCTGGAGATTTTTCTATAAAACATTTCATACCATTTATGGTTTCATTAAATAGGTTATTTTCAAACCATACAGATGTATGGTAATTTGGAGGACCAGTTTTATGTATAATTCAATCTCATTTTTGCTTTGCCAGATTATCAAGAAAAATACCAAGAGCTGCTTGAAAGAGAGGATTTTTTTCCAGAATATGAAGAAAACGGAACGTTTCTGCCAGGACCTGGAGATCCGTATGTTTTGGTTTTGAGTGATAATTTCATTTTTTTCTTTTTTGTTGGTTTTTGGTTTGTTTGAGGGGTTTTTTTTGATACTAGTTCTTTTTACTGCAGACTCAGGAATCCAGTCTTGACAAAAATAAAACTAAATAATTTTTAGTTAGCTCTACAATGGAGGTTAGCTGTTTTGTAATCACACAAATTTGAAACATTTTATATTTATCCAACTGAGCGGGGTAATTAGAATTCAGATACTCATATACATGTACAAACACTTTCCTGCATTAAAAAAAATAAAATAAATAAATTTGCAAGTAAAAGGAAGCAGCAGACTTTTCAAGTGTTGGTAGTGAGACAAACTGAATTCACTTGACTGATGTGCATATACATCCCAGCTAGAGATAATTACAGAATGTTCAGTCTCTCAAAGGGACGGGTTTGTTACATTTCTTTCCTTAGGATAAGTAGTATTCCTTCCATAGTTACTCAGTATTCCTTTGGAATTAAGGTTGCCTTCTTTCATGTATCAACAAAAAGGAATGCAGGGTTTTTTATATGAACAGATTTTTTGATTAATGTGCAACCAAGGCAGTGGATGCAGTATTTGAACTACAGTGTTGACCAACCAAAAAATATGTTAATATGATGCTAATTATGGTTTTTCACAAATAGATCAGTACAGATGCATTATTATATTTTATGAAGCATGGAAAACACTATTGCACTTTCTGTCATCTCAGGAACTATTTCTGTTTTCAAAACTGTGGACACAGTAAGATGATCCAAAATGGTCACAAGCACTGTCACTATTTGTACCATATCCATGCTCCTTTGAGGTTTCTGTTTACTTGTTTTCCTAGTACCCATGTTTTTTTCCTCTTCATCCTCTTTAAGAAAATGTCATAGTTAACAGCTGTTTATAGAGATGTGTTTTATTTTTTGACGTCTACATCAATGTTTCTGAAAAGCTGTACTTAACATCTTTGGTGATTTAATGATTTTTTTTTTCTTTTTTTTTTTTTTAAGGTATTTTGATGACATTGATGATGAGATGGATCCAGAAATTGAAGAGGCGTATGAAAAATTCTGTCTAGAATCAGAACATACAAGAAAATAGTGAGATGTTACACATTAATGTTAGTTTATTAAGCCACTTTATGGTTAGAATTCATGGGGATAAAAACATTTGTACCAAAACAGGGAGCTTGAGTTTCTCCAAGTACTAAAGTTACACAATTTTCATTAACAGAAACTGCCAAAAATTGTAAACTCATGCCCTGTATCTTAAAATGTTGTGTATATAATCATAGTTTATTTTATGTACAGGTATATGAACAATGTTTTGGCTGCAATAAAAATTATTTTAAAATTATCATAACTGAAATTACAATCTAATGGGGAATTATTCCATAAAATTTCACTTGAGGAGAAAAGGGGAAGAATAACTTGATCTGAACTTAATTGCTTTCTTGCTTGTTCCAGTATACACTGGGATTTAGTCATCCTTTTGAAAGATACCCACTTTTTTTTCTTTTCCCCCTGAAAAAAGCATGATCCAAATACAGTTGGGTTTTGGATGAGGTATTTTTCTTTTGTTTTATTTTTTCCCCTGTAGATTACAGCCATGAGAAGTGATCTGTGAAGGCTTTGTTTTGTGGGGGGTTTTGTTTTGTTTATTTCATGGTTTTTTCTTTCCCAAAACCTGTACAGGTGAGGTCCAGATGTTCTTGGTTTGGTTTTGGTTTTTTTTTTTCCTCCCCCTGGTACAAACAATGTTCTATGTTGATAGGTGAGAAAGCCAGCAGTATTTTGGAAGTTGGGTGCTTTCAAGGTCTTTGGTTTAGATAAGCTTATTTTCAACTTCTACAAGCAAAACCTATCCTTTAATTTGCTGTGTTATTGAAGAGTATACAAATGTAGTTATGTTTTAACCCATGCTTCTCAAGAGTTTGTGCAGTGCTCAATATAGAGTTTTGGTTTTCTTTTCAATGTATCTAACATGTCTAACCTTCTGGTAACTCTTCTAACTTACTTTATTCTAATTTTATGTAGTTTAATTTTGTAGTTGGAGTAAATTCATGTGTTTCATTAATGTCAACATTCTGAAGCCAACTGCTCTTCTTTTGACCCCATATAATCATGTTACCTTTCCTAGGATACTCTGTTATTGTTGTTGCCAAACTCAGTTGTACTGTTTCCTGTTATCTGTTACTGGTTAGATTGAGTAGAACCCCTTACACACACAAAAAAAAAAAAAAAAAAAAAAAAAAAAAGGAAATATTTCCCAAAAGTTAGCAACTATAAAGAACACATGTTGTAAATATGCATGTAAATAATTCTGGTAATATTTCACTGTTACTTGTTTGATTAAATAACTTGTGCATCTGCTATGAGTGAGCACTGACTGTTTTCTTTATGTTCATTTAACATACTTATTTAGGTTGAGGTTTTGGAAAATAAAACTTGACCAGCTTTGTTGCCTTTGGTATAATTTCACTACATTTTTTGCTTTAGAAAAAAAAAAAAAGGTTTTTTTGGTCCTTCTTCTGTCTCCCCTTCACCTAATACCCCTGTTTTTCTTTAGACAGTTGCAGGGAGTATTATCTTTTAATACTTATTGGAAAAATAAAATTTAGCAAAGAGCAGTGTGCTCATAAGAGCTATATTAGCATTTCAAAGTCTCTAGAATAAATTCAGAATCTAGAAAAGTGAAAATTAAATTAGATGATTTTCACATACACATTCTCAAAGGTTTAGCATGTTTCTCATACAAAAATTTGAATCCAAATACAGGTCAGACTTCCACTGACTTTACAAGCAGATGTCTTACAGAAAACATATTTACTGAAAACTTGAAGTCCCAAGGAACAAGTATTCATATATGCATTATGGTAAACTGATAGCATCTTCAAGGGACTCCACTTTGTGTTTTAGTTTTGCATCTTTTGTAGTGTGTCTTTTTGTCTGTAATGTAGCTGTCGGACTCCAGTTGTATACCCTGTCAGCTTGTGGAGACAGTGTGTCTTACCTGTAGGTAAGAAACAGGGCAAGTCATCCTGTACAAAAATGTTGGTAACTACCAGCAATGCTGGCAAATAAAGTGACACTTCTGTTCAAAGCGGTGGAGATGGTGGTGGTCTCTGCACATAGGAAGCTTTGCAAGAGTTTTAAGCCCATACTCCAGAAAAATTTGGTTTTAACTCTGTCCTTCTGCGTAAGGAAGACAGGATGATCTTGGCCTTAAACCCTTGACAATCCTCCTTACTTGTCTTAAGCCTCATGGGAGTCTAACACAAATTAGTGGTGGTGGAATGAGATGTGAGAGAGCAAAGCCAGCAGCAGGTTTTGCACCATCATAGTCACCATTTGCTGCTTGTCTGCCTGCTTTTAACTGCTGATAGGGCTGTGCATGACAGAGATGAGTCTTGAGAGGTTTAAAGATGATTTCACCTGACTTTTCAAGTGCACTGTGTGAAAGCGTTCCTCATCTGCAAGTTTCTGAACAATACCTTGCAGATATACAACCCTTAAAACGATTTCTTTGTGACATAATGGTAAGCCAGTGAAGGCATGGAAGCTTGGAAAGCAAACTTTGGGAGAAGTGAAGCAAACTTCCTTAGCACTGCTTCTGAAAAGAAACACACATTTTTACACATCATATTTACACATGACCAAGCTTCGCACATCAGAAAAAAAATATATGTCACTTAACTGTAAACCGTCGAGCCACTCACAACAGCTTTGATTACGCTGTAAATACCGGGCGGGGGAAGAGAGATGTATATTTCTTCCAAAAAGGCAGCTAGGCATAATTTTTAAACTGGCTTTTAAACGGGAAGTTAGTCTTTCAGTCCATTCAGCTAGGGCTTCTGCAACCCAGTTCTGAGGACACAGGTACCTGTTAGATTGCCCTGCCCTGTGAATGCATACGTGCAGAGGAGCAGTAACCGGACAGTTACGTACCTATAACCTGTCCTCGGGATATGTGGCAGATCGACCATTGGCCTACTCATTTTCGTGAGGTGCTCCTGTGGGAAGGCAAGAAGAGAACACGCTCTTGTAGAGCAGCTGGTGTGCTACATGGGGAGGCAGGAGTGTCTGCTGGTGCTGTGCCCCACGTACCCCTGCTGTGTGTCAGGGCATTTGCTGAACAAGGTGTATCTTAAAGCACAGGTACAGGTCTCAGCAGAAAAGGACCTGGGGGTGCTGATTGACGGAGCTGAACATGATCCAGCTCGTGCCCGGGCAGCCCAGAAGCCAACCGCATCCCGGGCT